ATTCCCCCCCTTTCCATGTCTCCGTTTTTTTTTTCTTTTTTTTTTTTTTTTTTTGACTTCTTAAGTTTCTACCGTCCACCAAGGATTTTCTTTTTTAAAAGTTCCCGTTTCTTTGTCTTTTTCTTACTGATGCATCAATAAATGGCTCAGGCACAGAACTCTCTGCCTGAGGGCATCAGTTGTTGGTCTCCCTGACACCCGTGGCAACAAATATATGATGCTTCAAAAGAAATGAGCACTCTGCCTAACTTACAGAACCTCCTCGTTGTGTAGCTCTGTCCACAGACATTTTGGGAGACCAGCTCCTCCTTGACCCTCCCAGGCAATTATTTTAACCAGAAAGCTGATTACTGTTGTTCTCATCTTGGACAGCATCACTAGAGCTGTTCCTAATGATCATAAATAGCAATCAGTACTCTTGCAAATTCCTCTTTTTTTCTCCAGCGTGGCTGCCTAAAGTCTGTCCATCATCCATTTTCTGTGCTGCTTTCTCATCCCCTCACTTCAAAAGAGCGCGCATCCTCCTAAGCCAATTAATACTACATTATTGGGTAGATTTAAATTTGCCTGCATGATTTAGATGCAGAAGCACTATTAAGAGTTAATGGACTTTGTGTTTCTAAGTCAGTTAGGCACGTAACAAAAATATGATTAAATTTTTTTTTAGTGTTTTAGAGTAGTGCTTTGGGACAAAACCAGGACAGGGATATACAGGAGGTTCACACAGGATGAGAAAACAAAGGTTAAACCAGCTATCATTTACCATTTTATCAGTAACCTGTTTATTATTAATAAAGATTGCCATGTTCTTCATAGCTTATGAAAGACAGTATTCATGATTATTGGATAGGTGCTAGTGCTCATTCCTATATCAGCATATTTCTGTTACTTTTATGTATAGCGTAACTTTTAAAGTCTTTTCTCTGATTCCTAAAGGTCTGTCTTTATGGTTCTTTTATTTCTCTTCAAAAAGTTCACTGTTCTTTTCTTTGTTTGTTTTTAATTTAATTTCACCTTTAAGTCTTCATTTGTAGCTGTCTGCTTGATTGTCTATGACAAAGATTTATACTTTCCTGACAGCTGCAGAAACCTGTTTCAAGTAACCAAACATTAAAAAAACCCTAAGATGAACTCTAATTGTTAGCTAGGTGTAATCAATTATTCTTAGTTTGTGTAGTCAGGTGTACATAATAAGCTGCAAACATATGGGAAAGCTTCAGAAGGGTGATAATGCATGTAAACAAAAACATGTTCAACATAAATAATGCTTAATTTAATGGAGAAGTTAATTTTATGGATTTTTGTTTGTGAAGTTTTTGAAGTGGAAATACTTTAGGCTTTATGTTCACTACAGACATTTTGATAATTAACTGTTTCCAATCACTGAAGTAAAAAAACCTATGGTTATAACACATTGGCTCTGAAAAAAAGCATGACTGGATTCCAGAGGAGCTGCTGGCCACACTTTGACATCTTAAATACTTATTTTCTACAGTGAATTTTGACCTGTGTTGGATACCAAGAATGACTGGTAAAATCAGTTACCAGAACCGAGCATTGCTCCGCTCTGTCTGTTCAGCAAGGCTTTCTGTTCGTACATCCCCCGCGACAGGAGCCCAGCAGCATCTTCAGAGGCGTCTGAACGAATTATGAGCCTATGGCCGCTATCAGAACTTCCTCTTTTTGACACATAGGATGCTGCATTCCCAACTCATTTCTGAAAATGGGACTTAGCTCTTTGAGTGACCATGATACGAGGGCAAATTTTTACCATTTTCATAAAACCCCGCAGTATACTGAGCCCAGTTTTCAAGCACTGGCATCTGAAGAGGAATTTCTTGATGTGTGAACCTACCCTGAAGCTCTAGCAAATCTGAGAGCTTTTCCAAGAGCTTGAATACCACAGGTCTGGTCTTTCAAGCCAGTTGGTTAGCTGCTATTTAGCCATGCTTGAGCGGACCTCAAAAGTAAACACATGAAAACCAGGTGCAGACTATTTACTGCTCCGGCTGACTAGCGTTTTCTCAGAGGCAGACTGTATTCCTGCTATTGCAGCAATCGAAGTCAGAGATGCAAAGCTATATGACAGGCATGCAGGGAAAGTACCAGAACAACTAAAGAGAACAGAATGATTGTATCTTGTAGGTTTCCAAATTTGAGCCTGGTGAAAGTGGCAGAAAAATAGAAGGAAAACAAAGATGGGTTCTTGCAAACCCTCTTAATACAACAGCGTCCTTCTTATACTACTACTTTGAAGGAAACACGAGACTTCAGTTGGCAGTAAGCATCCCTCTGCAATATGTTTTTAGACATATAAGCAAGTTGGTGTGCATTTTTGTCTGTGTTCGTAAAAAATGCATTTTTATACAAACCTTGTGCAAGTAAATGTAGGAGTTTAAAACATCTGTTGCAGAGGGGCTGAGTTTCTCTTCCTAGCTCAGGTCCATGGATTGAGGCGAGTGGGGCTTGCTGTGTCATGAAGTGCTTAAACAGGTTTTACTTGAGGATGCTGGTTTTGGGCAGGCTGTGGGTTCCTCCCCTGAGTTCTGTTACTGTAAGATTCAATGTGATAACAATATAGTTTTATTAGCAGCACAGATTCCGTTACATCGAAGTGTTCAATTTTAAAAACTAGATACCAGGACTAAATGTAAATGGCTAAATGTTGGTTTAAATTCTTTAGAGGCTCACTTCAGACATACGGCTCTTTACACCTCACTCTCTTTTAAAGGAAGAAAAAAGATAAAGCTTTGAATTTTCCCATTAACAGCAGTGCAGAAATGCTTTAATTGCAGTATTTTTTTTCCTTGAAAAAAAACTGGCAAGAGTTATCATAGTCCTTTTTCTTCAGATGAGCTTTTATGGTTTTCCTTAAGTATTTTTCCTTCCTTCCTCTTCTACTACCAAGGCAATTCGTCTATGGCTGCTTACGAAAAGCCACAAGACATGAAATCTCAGAAACACTGTATAGCAGTACAGCTTTCTAGATAACCTGTCTTCTTTTAAAGTTTTCCTTTCTTTTCCAAAGGTTTTCTGGACTGGGTTCCTAAGAAAATGCAACGGGTAGGATGTGTTGAGCTGCTGAACACAGTCCAGAGACGAATACAGCCAAGGCTTCATGTTTTTGGACATATCCATGAAGGTCAGAACACATTTCTTTCTATATATATTTCAAAACCACAAACACAGAAGTTGTCTGGTTTAACTGGCACTTTCAAATGTGCATGTCTGAACTGAAGCACTTCTGGAATTCAAATACTTGTTTAGCTGCATATACAGAGATGAAGTTGGCTGATACCCACATTTCAATATTTGTACTTCAGCTTCTCTTTCAGTTTCTACATCTATAAAATAGGGTGATGCTTCCTTCACAGAGAAGATTACTGTGAATTTTAAAATAAGAACATGAGTCCAGTAGTTACAGAAAGTAACTACTAAATATTAGGATTGATGGATTGTATTTTCCTCTGCTGGATCTCTGTGATTTAAGATAATTCATGTAAGCTCTCCGTGTCTCAGTTTCTGTGTTTGTAAAATGTGCAAGAGTGCTTTGGGGGCTGCTTCTAAGGCTTAATCTTCAAGATTGTACAATAAAGGTTGTCTTTCCCCATCAGTGCGTATATGAAGTTAAAATCAAGAGGGATGTCACCACTGAGTCATGTAGAAGTTCAAGATATTTATTCATGTATTTATTTGCTTTGGCAGGGGAAACATTTTGTACCCAGACAAAACAAAGAGGTTCTCTTGACTATTTGATTTTTAACTGGAAAAAAATTAGTTCCCTTCACATAAGTCAGTAAATGGTGACAAATATGCTCCACTGAAGACAGTGACAGTAGGAGTTCATCTCCAGGCAAAGGGAAAGGTAGATGCTGTCTGCTATAGAGAAGTCTGTCCTGTTCATGTATCATGGCAGCAAGACTTCAAGCAGTGCCCCTACCAAAAGAAACCACTGGGCTGTGCAGAAGCATACCGTTGGCATGTAAGTGTGTATTATCAGCTGCTTAGCTCTTGGCAATGTTAACTTACTGGCAGGAAAAGGTGCTCCACAGCTGCCAGTTTCTGCTTCTGGGACTGCTCCAGCCTTCAAAGGATACCTGTGGGTCTCAGACACCACTGTAGAAATAAACGGAGAAACTGGAGTAACTGGCACTCAGATAATTCTGGTTTTGTGAAGAACTATTACCCTTCCCACTCTGACTTGCTACTGGGCACTTTCACCGTGCTGGGTTAGGAGTGACATTGGTGAGAGGTGTGCTGGTGTAAAATTGATGGAGAAGATCTTTGTTTTACAGCTCAGGGATTAAGTCTGCTCTCCTCATGTGTCTCATCTGCATTGACGTGTATGTTAATGGCCAAGGTGCTGTACTCTGTGTTACATCACAGAGTAAACAAACAACGCATAGGCAGTATTTTTTCCTAACCCTTTGCTATTATGGCAGTCTTTGAGATTCTGTACAAGGGAGCTGGTGAATACAGTTCAACCTCATTGTCTTTTCAGAAATCGTAAGCCAAGTGGGTTGCAGGGGCTATAAGCAAACACTTAGCGAGCCGTGAAGCTTCAGGCAGGTAAACAAAATCACATCTGCTAAGACCAAGCCCAACTTTGGCTCTCAAGGGAAAAGAATGGCACCTCCGCAGAATGGTAAATCCTGTGAATTAATACAGTTGGCTCAGTAGGTATCAGAACACAGAAACAAGCTACTCTTCTTGTTAACTATCATAATTTAGAGAAAACAAATGGGGAACTGCATAGCCTGTTTTGCAGTGGGATGCTAAATCTCTGCAGAGGAGAATTCCCATTGCAGACAGCCTGAGCAAACGAAGCTGCTCTTTGTAGAGAGAATGCATGATTTGAACAGATGAGTTCCTCCCCTGACTGAGCGTAGCTACATCTGCAGCAGTCATTTACTGAACATCCGGGAGGAAGGGATGCTTAGAAGAGATGTTTCCCCTTTGTGCTGCTCTGTATGCCAAAAAATACCTCTACACATGGGCTTGCTGCTGATCGACCCACGAAAGTGGCAAGCAGCACGGCAAGGACTCCAGCTAAAATCCTGGTTTGCCCATTACAGCCAGTACTTGGCTGAGGTCATGGCCAAGGAAACTCCGCTGGCGGCGTGGTAGGAGTGAAAACTGTAGCATTAGGAATCTTCCAGCAAAAGGAACGTATTAGCGAGCTGATTCTGTTCTCTCCAAACGTGTAGCCGAGGAGACAGAAAGTCCCAGCAGCAATGCTGACTGTCCTCCGTGCAGTTTGTGTTTTACACAGAACAATTGTTCTGTGGCAAACAGCAAGTGATTTAAAGAAATGTCTGTGACAGGAACCTGACAGAGTTTTCTTCCCTCCCTAGTCCCTAATTATAGTGTGGTTTTTCCATGGGGAGTCCAGGAGGCCCTGCATTATTCAGGGTATTTTAAGGAACAAAAAAAGAAAGGAATTTGGCTGCCGTTTCTTTGTTTGTAAATTCTGCAACTAACAATGCTTCTGTAAAATACGGCATTGCACTCAGAATAACTGTAGGATCCTAGGTACCTGGGATTTGAATAGCCGGAACTCGGTGTATGTAGCAATGAATACATTTCGCTATTAACTTCATTAACAGTCAGATTGAATCTTAGTACAAATGCTTTCTACCGAGCGATTTCCCCAAAATCATGTATTTCTGATTGTGAATGCAATTTCTTCATATTGATCTTAATTTTTCAATGCAAGCTGCCAACATTAAGCTTTCAGTTTTAGTGTAATCAAGCTTATGTTTTTTCCTAGTCATTCATGAAAAGATTTTTGACAATGGAGAGTGTCTCTACTTTTTCATAACACCGGGGCAGTTAAAGGGCTTCTTCTCCACTTTCCGAAACAGCATTTCACTGCATGGCTACAGGCATTAGAGCTGGAAGTTTGATTTTCTGCAGATTTAGCTCTGGAGTTGTTTGGCTTGGGTGTCTAGTCAGACATGAAATGTAGTTAAAGGCTTTTCAGCACTGGTGAGACATGCAGAAGCGTGTTTTCTCCTGTGGAAATGTTACGGTGTCTCAAGGTGGGAGTTCACCTTGTCTGTCAGAGAATGCATTAATAAAGCCTTTTTTTTTTTCACCGCCTGGGCAGGCATTTTAGTGTCTTCCCATCAAGTTTCATTGAAATTGGTCAGCAGGTTCAAACACATGGGAAGGAGAAGTTCATACTAGACAAATCCCACCCAGGTGTGCATTCACACACACTCCCCTTAGTCAGGCCATGGTTTTTCTTCATTGGTTGCTTAAAAGATGCACAACACAGAATAAGAGGTGGAAAGCTGAAAATTGCCCAAAGTTTGCTGCACTGATGGCTGCAAACCTAAATGATCAGAAGTACAGTTTTTTCAATGCTGTAAATGCCTAAGCTCTATCTTTCTCAGCCTTTCCAAAACAGAAGATTATAAGAAAAAAGTTCTGTAGAGAAAAATATTGTCTGTCTAAGGAGGTTTGGCAAGCTGGCTGCCAGAGATCGTAACCACTAGCTTGTGAGGGACCGTTTTGCTTTTCTTACACAATTTAAAAGATGGCAAAAAGTTCTCCTGTAGGACAGAGATGGTATTAATTCAGGAGACCTTTATGTTTTGCATGAAGAGAATTTTTAAATTCCTTCTGCGTAATAAATGTGGCACTTACCGTTGTGTGATAAAGGTGAATAATTAAGAAAGAAAGAAGATAATAATGAATAATGAGAGTAACGGGAGTTTTTCTTTCTTTGTAGGTTACGGTGTCATGGCTGATGGAACTACTACCTACGTGAATGCATCTGTGTGCACTGTGAATTACCAGCCACTTAATCCACCTATAGTTATTGACTTACCTACTCCAAGGAACACATGATTATAATGAGGATTTAAAGTTGTGCCCAACACATTAGCAACTTTATATTGCTGGCTGAGAATCCCAATAGGGAACCATTCAACAAAAAAGCAAAAACCTTCTTCTTTTTTCCCTGCTAGCTCTTCACAGATAAATTTTGAGTGGCAAAAGTGGATGAGGAACAAAGACATTTTGGTGCCAGAAACAGATTAAAGACTTTAACATTTCACCATTAAAATACTTGTGAACGCAGAAAAGTGAATGCATTCCACATATATATACACATATACATATATCTCTCTCTCAAGTAGGGACTTTTGTATATACCGTACATTATATTGGACTTATTAAAAGAACAATGTCTTTCAAAGGAGTGTTTCTTTAAGAAAGTTGGCAGTTTAAACTTAAGTGTTTAGACTAGGATTTCCTCATTTCAGATGTTTCCCAGTGAGCTCTTGGTAAAAGAAAAACGATGGTAAAGATGTTTCCCCTTAATTAACATGGCAAATGTGAAAGATGGTGCACGAATGACCAGTCACAGGAGGAAAGCTATTACTTCAGGTCCTCCAGGTCTAAGTCTTTGCATCTATTCAAAACCAGTGCAATAGAGGCCCTAATTCACTGTACTGAAATGAAGTTTTACTACATCTGGCATTACAGATGGTAAGGGAAATGGTGCATATTGCCGGCATGCTGTAAACAGCTCAACATTCAAGAAGGGAGACTGTGTTAAGTGCAGTATAAACTCAGGAATTTGTAACCTGGACTCGCCTGTGAAAAAAAGGATGACATTTCCCTTAAAAAAAAAAAAAAAAAAAAGAGGAAGAAAAAATATAACTCTGTTTTCATATGGTAAGGCGATATGTGATTGTATGTAAAAATTAAAAAAAATCCACAAACCCCACAAAACCCCCACCCAATGTTCAGTAGTGGTATTCTAAATAAAACCCACTGGGACTATTTGTTTAAAACCTGTTAATGGGACATGCAGCCAATGATGGGATTACTGGTTTGAATTTGGCCCCAGTCAGAAGTGATTAAATGTCATTGCGCTCCTTTTGTCCTTGGGGAACGTGCTGGATGTCAAGCAGAAGGCCTCACACTCAAGGTGGAGTTTGGGCGTTCGCTTCTGGGTGGCAACGTAGCAGCATAAGCGCGATGAGTGGTGGGTGCACACCAATGGGTGCAGAGCAGGGGTCGCCTCACAAAACCTGTCATTGGTGTTTGACAGCTCACGGACGCTGCTGAGAGAGGCCCAAGACAAAATCATCAACCAAGTTGAGATCCATCTGTCATGTTGCAGGTGATGCCAGGCAGAGCAGGGGACGTGTCAGGAGCTGGTTGAGATGGCCAACGCTGGTACTGCCCAGGCCATTTTCCTGCAGGTTAACAGGGGTGTTGAAGCTGCTGGGATTTTAGTCCCATCCTAGGCAGAAGCTTGAGAATTGATTACAAACCCACCCAAAAAAAAGTGCTTCAAACGTGCCTGATAAGAAATTAGTTTCTGCCTTGAACTAACAACATCTCCATGTGCAAAAGAGGAGCCTTTGCCTTGATGGAGATCATTTAACTGCAGTATTCTGAACATGGACATCCTGAATTTGGGGCTGACGGCATCTAGTTACCAATCTTGTTCACACACCTTGGGCAAATCACCGTGCTGCCAGTACAGGGTTGTTAGCAGGTCTGTGCGTAGCCCACATCTGCACACACGCAGTGGATACCTAACTCTGTGTGTTACTTTTTGCCTGATACATGGCATGCAGCAGCATGTAATTTATACACATACATGAATTAAAATACCCTTGTGGCAAAACCAGGCTGTGTCAGCCTCAACTCTAGGCGAGGTAGGCAGAAACGCCACATTTTGCTGGCTCCCCATGGGCTCTTCCAGCTGCTGCCGGGAGCAGCGGCATTCGAGCCCCGGAACTTGACTCACACTGGGGACCCACCAGAGACCACCAGAAACCACCAGAACACGTGACAAGTCCACGGGTCAGTCATTTTTTGCGAGCTGTTGGGTGGCTCAAGTCTAAACTAATGTGCTGCTTTTTCCTGAAATGAAACCCAAAACAATTGTCCGTGTCCTGCAACTGGGTTTTGGGCGAATAGTTCACAAGCGCATGAGCAGTCTGCCGTGAATTCAGCCGGGCCCACTTTTGTCAAAACTATGGGTGTAGGGATTGCAGGATCAGCTCCTAAATCAGCAAGGACTGAAATTCACAGTTGAATATGAACTCCTGCCATCACTGGGAAGATGAGCAATAGCGTGTAGTTAGAATAAAAGTGTCTTAGCTAGTCACAATTCAAGTGGTTTGAAACATATGTGGCAGGAAATTGGCTGTATGTTAAAGAAGTCCGAAATGTTTACATTCGCTCACGGCACTTAAGAGACTAAAATGTTAAAAGTGGGGGGAAGAGGTCCTTTTATTAGCCTCGACAAAATTTCTATGTCGACCATAAACTATTCTCTTAAAAATAATTTTTCCTAAGGTATCTTCAGAATACTGTGTATTTTTATGTGGAAAGGATATGAAAGCAGCTGTTAACTTCAAAATATCATTTAAAGTACTTGAGGTATGAAAGCTTAAAGGTTATTTAATCATTTTGGCATAACTTGATTGTTGTTGTAATTTTCGGTCAAGCATGTTAGACAAATAAAGTCTTAAAAAACCAAACAACCCAAAACCCAAGACCTCTTTATATCCACCTCATGCATTCAGCTCCACGTGGGAAAGGCTGCCTACCTTCTCCAGGTGTTGGAGCCAACTGGTTGGGACAGTGAGGTTGTTATTGGGACAGGCCGCGGACCGGTGGGGGGGCGAGGGGCAGAAGCTCCCCGGCTCCGTCTGCCAGCGTCAGGCTGCCTCGTGGCCTGCAGAAGGGTGCAAGTTGGGGTTGCAGAGA